AGATTTGGAGAATACTCCTCATGTATTTTTGCTTTGCTCAACGGCACACATATGCAACAAAGAATTTGACAGTTCTTTTTTTTACCTCGCTTTTATTAGCTCGGGATGTAACTATGTAATATTGATGCGCCTAAAAGACCCAGCGATTTCCATTCTCAAGTTACATGCCTGATGACAGTACGAATTTGAATTGCTTTAAACTTCCATTCTTAAAGTAACCTGGTGACAGTACGAATGGAAGTTTTAATGGCGAGGTTTTAGTTTTTTAAACTATAAGTTTATTTACGATGTTCTAGTTGCTCCGTCGCTTTTTTGCGACATTCACACGCGCGATGGCCCTTCTTGTCACAATAATAAAATTATAGTTTAAAAAACTAAAACCTCCCTATAATAATTGCCATTCCTACTGTCATCAGGTAAGTAACTTGAGAATAGAAATCGCTGCATCTTTTAGGCGCATCAATATTACATAGTTACATCCCGAGCTAATAAAAAGAAGGTAATAAAAACACTTGCCTTTGAACTGTTATTTTTGTTCACCCTTTTTTATGTTCTGTGTCGCACTATCGCTACGAATGCCTTTGGCATTTCGATGCTTGTTGTGTTGCGCACCCGTTTGCGCTTGTGTATATGTGTATACCGACTAGGGTTGCCAGATTTTTTATGCGCGAAATCGGTACGTTAAACGTTTTCATGCTAAAAAAATCAGTACTTTTCAGTACATTTTTATTCAAAGCAAAATTATAAATCTAAGTAACAGAAAATACTTTAAAACGCCAGAGTTCTTCTATTTAACAATATGTTTGTATATAAATAAAATATAGTACATAAAAATAAAGGTGTTGTTCCTTTTAACAGGAGTGTAACCTTCATTATACACAGGAGCCAATAAATGCTTTTATATTTATGACATTTTTGAATAGCAAAATGAGATCATTCCCATTTTCAGTGTTTAAATAGTCAAAGAATTCTATACATTTCATTTTAAAATTACTTTTAATTTGAAGTTCACTTTAAAAAATTGTAATTAGAAGCCGGTTTCTCTCTTTGCAGTAGGAAACAAACTTTCCAATTTCTCAATTGCTTCGTTCGAGTGGTTTTGAAAAAATAAAACAAAATTAAATACTTTTTCAAACTGTGAAAAAGTACCACTTTTAAGGACTGGGTCTATATTTGCTCATGGTTTAAATAATTTTTTCAACTATGGGCTATGGTTTTCTCCAACTCAACTTAACTTAGTTTAGCTATTTTTTGGACTTAAGTCAAAAGTTAGCCTACTTTTTACACAGCTTATTCTTGACTAAGTCAAAAAATTGGTTAAACTAAGTTAAGTTGAGTTGGAAAAACCAGCCCTATGTCTTGTATGCAAAACTCTTACAATGTCAGAAATTTAGAATATTCAAATTTGTTGTTATTAAACTGAAAGTTGTTTTCGAGATAACTAACAACACTCGACAAAAGAATGCCAGCCTTCTTTTAAAATAACACTGTGGAACAAATTCAGGTTAGCAAAAGTTAGGTCGATTCTGAGAGTGATGGGGTGAAAATAGAGGCTAAATTAGAAGACCCGTATCGCGGCGTTTGTTTATGTTAGTTCGAATTTTTTTTTAATCGACCTTCGAACTTTGCAGTCAAATGCAATAAATTTCTTCCCCTTCTTCCTCTTATTCCTCGTCTTCCTCTTTTTTGTTTCAAACCACCGCACAGGTAGCGATTTTTATCTATTTCGTATAAGCGAACTAATATCAAACATAAAGATGCAGTTAAGACTCGAAACTTAGCCGAAGCTGATGTCTTTTAATTTTCGCTCGGTCGTGATAAAATTCGCTATTAATTTTTTTGGAACTTATTTCATTTTGTGAGTGATTTAAGGTAAGTGCATCGGTTTCATAAAAATAACAAAAACAATATTGTATCATAGATATTGTATTAAAAATGTCGGAACCAAAATGTAAAATGGACCTTTTTGTAATGTTTGTGGACGTTTCATAGCAGGCGATGAAAAATGTGGCAATGCGAGTGATTGTTTTTTGGAAGCCTTTAAACAATATTTCTCGCAAGAGTTTATCACTGACGTAAACTATGCCCCTAAAAAAGTTTGCTTTAATTGCTATTCAAGTGTTATGCAATGGAAAAGTGAAAAGAAGAAGGCTATGCCTTTTGGTATACCAATGATGTGGATGTATCAACTACCATAAAACTTTGAATAGAAGGAAAGCAAAGAATAAAACTTATGTAGCAGTGCCAAGTGTCCAATTACCATTACCGCACTCAGAATTCGTTCCAGTACCAACATACCGGAGTATTGATCTTCAAACAGATATCAGTACTACAACCGCCGCTGCTATATCCATGCATTTCTTCTCATAATACGACCCTGGTGAAGGTACATCCTATGAAACATCAAAGGACCCAATCCTAGTCACACAAAAGCAACTGGATGCAATTGTTGCAATTTTGTGTTTGACTCAGAAAAAATCAGACCAACTGGCTTAATTTTTGAAAAGAAATAATTTGCTGGCGAAAGGTACCAAAGTAACAGCATATCGAAAACGCGAAAAAGAGTTAGAAAAGTTCTTCAATGTGAATGATGCAAAAAATTTCGCTTATTGCAACGATATCGAAAAGTTAATGGAGACGATAGGGTTAACCTATAAAAAAGATGATTGGCGTTTATTCATCGATAGTTCACTAATCAGCTTAAAAGTTGTGCTTTTGCACAAGACGAATAGAATGCCTTCTGTTCCAGTTGCGTATAGCACTGACACTAGTGAAAATTTCGATAATTTGAAACACATTCTGGAAGTAGTCAAATATAACGAGCACCAGTGGCGCATTTGCTGCGACCTCAAAATAGTTTCATTGATTACAGGCTTAACAGCATCTGGTCGTCCAAAATATCCGTGTTTTTTTTGCGATTGGGATTCACGATACGGAGAAGGTATTAAAGGAAGAAACCAGTACAAACAGCATAACTGGAATAGTCGCATTGGACGGAAATGGCCTAAAGACAATAGGCTACACGAAAGTCTTGTTCCTGAAATGAAAATTTTGTTGCCATTGCTCCACATTAAACTTGGCATTGCTAAAAATTTTTTGAAATGTATCGCAAAAAGACCAGCAGTATTCAACCGCTTAAAAGACATTTTCCCAAGACTAAGTAACGCCAAAATTCAGCAAGGGGTTGTTAATGGTCCCGACATACGGAAACTAATGAGTCGTCAAGATTTTGACCAAGTTCTGACAGACCGAGAATTAAATGCAGGGCTCGCATTGAAAGCAGTCATTAAGGTCTTTTGGGTAAAGAACGCAAAGACAACTACAGGCAATCTGTTGCAAACATGTTGGCAGCTTTCGATGAAATTGGGGTTAATATGTCGTACAAAATTCATCTCTTGCATCAGCATCTTGATCAACTCGCTCAACAGTTGCCAACTGAATCTGATGAGCAAGGCGAACGTTATCACCAAACTGCGCTTCCATTTGAAATAAGGTAACTATAGAGTGTGCATATTTTGAATTCCTAGATTTTTCTAACATCTTTGTCAGAGTGCACAATTTAAACTATTTTTGTTTCAGGTACAGAGGAAAGAAATCTCCAGATGCAATACTTGCTGAAATTTGTTGGTGGTATAAAAACACGTTTGAAGAAGAGGAAGACGAGGAAAAAGAGGAAGAAGGGGAAGACAAAGGTGAAATTCCAGAATATCTGTTGGACGAAATTATCGACCTTTCTGATGATGATGACGATGACCAAGATATTAGAGAGAGCAGTGATGTTGATCCACAGATCGCTAGAGCAGTGATGCTTCGTTTGTTATTGGTTACCATTTGTGTTTTAAAAATGGAAAATTCAGACAAATTGTTCATTGCTATATTGAATATTCAAAATGTGCAATGTATCTGGTTGCAATGTGTCGCAACTCTGCATATACAAACAGTTTGAATATCGCAGTATAAAAGTATCCAAACATTGTATTGATACGTTTTGAAGTCAGCCTGTCTTTTTAAAATGATAAGAAAAGTGTTTGTTTACAAAATTACCTGTGGCACTCTGCCTTAGTGCGGTTGTTGCTCCCTTCCATACCACAATAATTTTGTATGCAACTCAGAATCAGCAAAATTCATGCTCCTTCTCATTATCAACCCTGATCAGATTTTACCCCCGAGGAGTACTCAAAAAGGTTTACTACTGTATATACTGTGCTACTTATTACAACTTCAAGACTGTTTAAAGCGATGTATGCGACGAAGAAGGAAAAAGCACAAAAAGGGAATACAAAACAATGGTACAGCATTGCCAGGCTTGTTGCAATATTTACATATTAAGCTTAGTTCACATTTTCAATTTCAACATAAGGTATTATAAAACTTCAATAACACAATAACAAAAAATTTTATTCAGGCACATATGTATAATGTTAAGTTAAGTTAAATAAAGACTTAAAAAATCCATTTAAATAAAATTTCATAACTACTCTAAGACTAGATGTACATATGTTCAGTATTGGAAAAAATAATAGAAACCAAAAACGTTGAGAAGTTTCGGATATTTTTCTTTTGTTTATTTAATATTTAATATTTTTTTATAAAAAGTTAAACTCACTCAATAACAACTAGCATATATGTAAATCCAAAATTCAAACTTTGTACAGAACTAAAAAAAAAACTAGTTTTGAAAACTTAGTATACAGTTGTTTAACCTTGTAATAAGAGTTTTCTGAAAAATTTAGCCACTTGAAACTTGCACATTGTTACGCTAAAATTTAATGAGCTTCAAAACACTGTACTCAGAATTTTTCAGAAAACTCTTATTACAAGGTTAAAAAGCTGTAAACTAAGTTTTTAAAACTTGGATTTTTTTGAATTCTATACAAAGTTTGAAGTTTTGATTTACATATATGCTTGTTGTTTAACTTTTTAGTGAGTTTAACTTTTTATAAAAAATTATTAAAGATTAAATAAACAAAAGAAAAATATCCAAAACTTCTCAACGTTTTTGGTTTCTATTATTTTTTCCACCACTTTATGTACATATGTATTTACATCTTATTTACAAAGTTGGCTAGATTATTGAAGGCTTCGGCGGTGGCTTTCAAACCTTCGCCAAGGTCAAAATAGCGTCCGACAGTGCATTCGTGACCTCCGTCATTGAATTCGCTAGCCTTGTATTCGCCGAACTGCATTCGGCTAGCATCTGTTGGGAAACAAAACAAACTATTTATTCATTTACATATATATATTCGTTTATGCCTCGTTTGAATATACCTTTAGACCATCTGTCTGCTTTTCAGCTATCTCCAACGCTTTCATCCGCAAGTCGATGTCCTCTTCGACCCGCTTCTTTTTGAAAGACCTGCGTGGGGTTTTTGGGGTTTCGCAGCGTACTTCATCGTCTTCATCAATTAACAATTTAAACACGCCTTCGTCCCCATCCTCCAGAGCCAATTGAAATTCCTATTAACTGCTGCCAATTAAACCAATCCGCGCCTTTCAAGCTCCGTCATAGGCGCTTGGTCTAGGGGCCTGTTACCGGTCAACGCCTGCTGTTTTTTCCGGTCACGAGCCTTCACACCTGCCCGGCTTTTCAAGTCCCGCCAGACCTTTTTGCAACATTAACCCTACAATGGTCACGTGGTCTACGATCGTCGACCACTTCTTTGAAAATAGTACTATCTTTTAATTTTCCTTCTTACGATAGTTGCGCTTTTCAGTAGCTGTTGCTAATACGTCTGCTCACATAATCAGTATTTTAGGTGCGCTGAGGGGGAGAGATTAGAAATTGTATCACGGCTGAAACATAACTGGTCTACATATGTAGACCTCGTGACCAATGGCGTTTTAGTTTTTGTTTCAACATTATATTTTAAATTCATTATTTTGATAGGTAAAATTAAGTAATATTTACTAACTTTTCATACTCATGAAGTTAAAACAATACTGTTCAGACAAAAATATGTCAGAACTAAAAAAAAAGATAAGTGGAGACGCCCAAGAATTTTACAGTGTTTGAGACGGTTGGACGAACTGCCAATTGGAAAAGAGCGCTGCTATGTTTTCTCCACCCACAGCAAATTATTTCGGCCGTTTTCATATCTGCCCTCGAAGTAAGAATAAGCATTCCAGAAGGGCATGTGTGAGTTGTGGGAGACTTACTAGAAAAACGCGCATGAGGAATGCCTGCACATTTTGTGTAAGTGAGTAAAATTTTCCTAATTTCAATGGCCTCTAATTACTTTATTTTTGAATTTAATTTTGCTTTTGGTTTTTTAGGTGAAATGTTTTAATGCTTTGTTATGATGAAAAATAGTTTGTTCATTGCTTTCAATATATAAATATATTGGGCCGTATGAATAAAAAATTAGCAATTGCTTTTTCTTAAAATTTCTAACACTTTACTCGATTTATTCAAACAAAATTGAAGTAAAAGGTATGCAATTTTAAGAAAAAGCAATTGCTTTGTTTTTATTAATTCGGCCCATTTATTCAATTAATTGTATGCCTAATGTGACCAACCGTACTTCTTTCGGAAGTACAGTACTTCTTTTTTCGCTCTTGTTCTTCGTACTTCGAAGTACAGTCACATGTACTTCTTTGCGATATTTTGTACTTCAGGAGGGAGATTCTGTAACAAGTTAGCGACAATTTTCGGATCGTTATCGCACTTTTTGACGCATGATATAAATGTTTTTGCGTCAAAAAGTGCGATAGCAATTCGAAATTGTCGCTAACTGGTTATAGAATCTCTCCCCAGGTCCTGTAACCCTCCGATCATCTGGACGAACGTCACATGGCCTGGGCGATAAATTCGTGCAAACCATTAAAGTCGCTGGGGACCGATGGCATCATACCTGCGCCGCTGCAAAGGGCTCTGAAGGTGTCGTGCAATTGGTTGGATCCTATTTATACAAACTGCGTGAGAATCGGGTTCAACCAAAGGCTTGGAGGGTACTCAGTGTTGCGTTCATTCCGAAGGCCGGAAAAGGCTCTCATGTTTCCCCTAGAGATTTTAGGCCTATCAGTCTCTTCGTTTTTGCTGAAAACGCTTTTGCTAAAAACGCTAGAGAGACTGAAAGACCTCTACATAAGAAGGCAATTCTTCGTGACTGTATTTCAAGAGCTCAATATGCTTATTGCAAGAAAATGTCGGTGAATACCGCCTTGCACACATAGGTAAAGTGGTCAGAGGAAGCCTTCACGCAAGAAAATTATGCAGTAGGGGCCTTCTTCGATATCGAGAGGGCCTTCAACATTGTCACTTCAGAGGCAATAGTCAAGTATATTCATAATGTGGGGGTTGAATCCAACCTAATAAGGCTTATCTACAGCTTGCTTCGTGACGTATTAGGCTAAGGAAACTGGGTCTTATGTGACATAAAAAATGGAAAAGAAGACATTTGTCTGCTGCAACAAATGTTTTTATCGGGCATGCATTAAAGCTT